ATAGATAGATAGATAGATAGATAGATAGATAGATAGATAGATAGATAGATAGATAGATAGATAGATAGATATGGAGAGATAGAATTAGATGGATAGATAGATAGATAGATAGATAGATAGATAGATAGATAGATAGGAAGAATTAGATGGATAGATAGATATAATTAGATGGATGGATACATAGATAGATAGACAGACAGACAGTAAAATGATAGATAGATAAATAGTAGAAATACTATTTACAATGGTATCTTGGTTCTCATAATTAATTGGTTCTGGGAGGTGTGATGAGTACCAAAAATGATGAATACCAATCAATTTTTCCCCATAAGAAATAATGTAGTGAGTCACAAGGCAGCAGACACCGACAAATTCTAACTTGTGCGTTGAGCAGCAAACAAATGATGAGTATCAGGACAGAATTTTCACATCAAAATGCATTAAGTACCAAATTCGATGAGTTTGATGGAAATAAATGTTAAAAAAAAAATCTATTAGCATATACCATGTTAATAAACATAGAATCTCAAACTTCGTTTAGACTGTTGAGGCCTTTCTTTTAAGCAGCAGGTATGGAATTAGAGTAGCAACTATACACAGAAACATACTGGGGGAGGGAGGGGAGGAGAGGGAGAAGGAGAAGGGGAGGGAGGGAGGGAGGGAGAGAGAGAGAAAAGAAAGAAAGAAAGAAAAAGAAAGAAAGAAAGAAAGAAAGAAAGAAAAACCCCTACTTTTGTATGAGGTATTATGTTCCATCATGTTGGTGTCTATGCTTAGCAACTAAATAGAGAGACCTTCAGTAGAATGGAGTGTTCCCAACCTGCTTCTTCAGATCTTATACACACAAACACACAAAGAGAGAGAATGGGGAGGGAGGGAGAGAGAGAAAGAGAGAAAACTTACTTTTGTAGGATGCATTATGTTCCATTGTGTGGTGTCAACCCTTAGCAACTAAACAGATAGACCTTTACTAAAGATCTATCACTACTGAATGGAGTGTTCCCAATCTGATTTTTCAGATCTTCTAATGGTGCATCCATCGTCACCCTAATCAAATTCATCTACTTTACTGCTGACTGTCTTCCCCTTCTCTTCCCTTTTCTGGTTATCATGAACTTCTCAAGAGAGCTCGGTCTTCTTATCATTTGTCCAGAATAGGAATCTTTTGAGCTGGGTCCCTAGTACCTTGGGTGCAACAAAGCATATTCAGATAAGGAGTGGAGTTAGCAGAAATTACTTTAATGATAGGACTGCATTTTGGAGAGCATTTGAGCATAAAGACATTGGGCTCATCTACTTTTGAGGTAGTCAGATAACAGATAATCAGAGTTGGAAGGGACCTTGTAGGTCATCTAGCCCAACCCCCTGCCCAAGCAGGAGACCCTACACCATTCCTGACAGATGAGAGTCCAATCTCTTTTTCGAAGTCTCAAGTGATGATGCTCCCACAACTTCCGAGGGCAACTTCTGTTCCATTGGTTGATAGTTCTCACTGTCAGAAAGTTTCTCCTTATTTCTAGGTTGAATCTCTTTGTTCACTTTCCATCCATTATTCCTTGTCTGGCCTTTGGCTGCTTTAGAAAATAGCTTGATCCCTTCCTCTCTGTGGCAGCCCCTCAAATATCGGAACACTGCTATCATGTCTCCCTTGGTCCTTCTCTTCACTAGACTAGCCATGCCCAGTTCCTGTAACCGTTCTTCATATGTTTTAGTCTCCAGTCCCCTAATCAATCTGGTTGCTCGTCTCTGTACTTTTTCTAGTCTTTCAACACCATTTTTATAACATAGTGACCAAAACTGGATGCAGTACTCTAAGTGTGGTCTTACTAAGGCTTTATAGAGTGGTATTAGTACTTCCTTGATTTTGATTGTATTACTTTGTTAATGCAATTTAGGATTGCATTGGCTTTTTTGGTTGCTGCTGCACAATGCTGGCTCATGTTTAGCTGGTTGTCCACTAAGACTCCAAGATCCCTCTCACAGTTACTGCTATTGAGCCTGGTTTCACCCGGTCTATATGTGTACTTTTGGTTTTTCTTGCCTAAGTGTCCTTTCCTTTTGATTTTGTTTGAATGGTAGCCGATAATATTGTTTAGTGTGGAAGAGCCTCCAAAAAAGCAACTAAGTGTATGTGGGTAGTCCTCAACTTATGACCACAATTGAACCCCAATTTTTTGTTGCTAAGTGAGACAGTGAAGTGTATTTCTTGCCACAATAGTTAAGTGAATTGCTGCAGCTGTGAAGTTTAGTAACACTGTTGTATAGGGAATCTGGCTTCCCCATTGGCTTTGCTTGTCAGAAGGTCGCAAAAGGGGATCATGTGACTCTGGGACACTGTAACGGTCATAAATATGAGCCGGTTGCCAAGTGTCTGAATTTTGATCATGTGACCCATCACAGGGATACTGTAATGGACCCAAGTCCCTTTTTTTCATTTTAACTTTGGAAGGTCACTAAATGAGCTGTTGTAATTCGGGTCCCAAATGTTCTTTTTCAAGAGGCAAATGGACTTTCATTGTTTTTCCTCAAAGACGTTTCATTTCTCATCCAAGAAGCTTCTTCGGCTTTGACTGGGTGGTGGGGAATGGAAGGATTTATACTCCTTGCAGACAGCTGGTCATTTGCCTCTTTTTACTGGGTCGTTAAGGTCACCTGGAGGTTTATCTGTGTCCTCAGGGTCACCTGAGTGCTGCAAATAGGTGTGGAGCCTTCTTGGAACTGTTGAAAGGACTGTGTTCTAGATTGGAGATAGATGATATTGTATCCTCCTCCCTCTGTTGAGATAGTCTATTCAGTTATCTCAACTATGTCAAGATGGCCTCTTTGACCCCCTCCTTCAAACCAGCAGTCTTCTATGTCCAAAAAGTGGACCTTGCTATCTTTAAACAAGAAACCAGAAAGTCCAGTTGCCTCTTGAAAAAGCACCTTTGGGCCAACCATGACCTGGATGACTGAGAATCTCCATAAACATTGTAACTCCAGGACCAGCCGTAATATTGAAAGTGGGTATACCAAGCCGCCGCACTCTTCAAAATACCTCTTCTCCTCCAGTGGTGGGATTCAAAATCCTTTACTACAGGTTCTGTGGGCGTGGCATGGCTTGGTGGGCATGGCAGGGGAAGGATACTGCAAAATCCCCATTCCCTCCCCACTCCTGGGGGGAAGGTTATTGCAAAATCCCCATTCCCTCCCCACCCCACTAACCTGCTTTCCAGCTCCGTTCTCCTGTGCAGGGCAACCCAAGAAGACCCAGCCAATCAGCTGTGAG